GGGGGTAAAGCAGCTGGAACTGATGGGATCATGACAGAAATGTTAAAAGCAGGGGGGGATATAGTGTTGGAGTGGTTGGTACTTTTGTTTAATAAATGTATGAAAGAGGGGAAGGTACCTAGGGATTGGTGGAGAGCATGTATAGTCCCTGTATATAAAGGGAAAGAGGACAAAAGAGATTGTAAAAATTATAGAGGAATAAGTTTACTGAGTATACCAGGAAAAGTATACGGTAGGGTTATAATTGAAAGAATTAGAGGTAAGACAGAATGTAGAACTGCGGATGAGCAAGGAGGTTTCAGAGTGGGTAGAGGATGTGTAGATCAAGTGTTTACATTGAAGCATATATGTGAACAGTATTTAGATAAAGGTAGGGAAGTTTTTATTGCATTTATGGATTTAGAAAAGGCATATGATAGAGTGGATAGAGGAGCAATGTGGCAGATGTTGCAAGTATATGGAATAGGTGGTAAGTTACTAAATGCTGTTAAGAGTTTTTATGAGGATAGTGAGGCTCAGGTTAGGGTGTGTAGAAGAGAGGGAGAATACTCCCCGGTAAAAGTAGGTCTTAGACAGGGATGTGTAACGTCACCATGGTTGTTTAATATATTTATAGATGGGGTTGTAAAAGAAGTAAATGCTAGGGTGTTCGGGAGAGGGGTGGGATTAAATTATGGGGAATCAAATTCAAAATGGGAATTGACACAGTTACTTTTTGCTGATGATACTGTGCTTATGGGAGATTCTAAAGAAAAATTGCAAAGGTTAGTGGATGAGTTTGGGAATGTGTGTAAAGGTAGAAAGTTGAAAGTGAACATAGAAAAGAGTAAGGTGATGAGGGTATCAAATGATTTAGATAAAGAAAAATTGGATATCAAATTGGGGAGGAGGAGTATGGAAGAAGTGAATGTTTTCAGATACTTGGGAGTTGACGTGTCGGCGGATGGATTTATGAAGGATGAGGTTAATCATAGAATTGACGAGGAAAAAAAGGTGAGTGGTGCGATGAGGTATATGTGGAGTCAAAAAATGCTATCTATGGAGGCAAAGAAGGGAATGTATGAAAGTATAGTGGTACGAACACTCTTATATGGATGTGAAGCTTGGGTGGTAAATGCAGCAGCGAGGAGATGGTTGGAGGCAGTGGAGATGTCCTGTCTAAGGGCAATGTGTGGTGTAAATATTATGCAGAAAATTCGGAATGTGGAAATTAGGAGAAGGTGTGGAGTTAATAAAAGCATTAGTGAGAGGGCAGAAGAGGGGTTGTTGAGGTGGTTTGGTCATTTAGAGAGAATGGATCAAAGTAGAATGACATGGAAAGCATATAAATCTATAGGGGAAGGAAGGAAGGGTGGGGGTCGTCCTCGAAAGGGTTGGAGAGAGGGGGTAAAGGAGGTTTTGTGGGCGAGGGGCTTGGACTTCCAGCAAGCGTGCGTGAGCGTGTTAGATAGGAGTGAACGGAGACGAATGATACTTGGGACCTGACGATCTGTTGGAGTGTGAGCAGGGTAATATTTAGTGAAGGGATTCAGGGAAACCGGTTATTTTCATATAGTCGGACTTGAGTCCTGGAAATGGGAAGTACAATGCCTGCACTTTAAAGGAGGGGTTTGGGATATTGGCAGTTTGGAGGGATATGTTGTGTATCTTTATATGTATATGCTTCTAAACTGTTGTATTCTGAGCACCTCTGCAAAAATAGTGATAATGTGTGAGTGTGGTGAAAGTGTTGAATGATGATGAAAGTATTTTCTTTTTGGGGATTTTCTTTCTTTTTTGAGTCACCCTGCCTTGGTGGGAGACGGCCGACTTGTTGAAAAAAAAAAAAAACATGGCTTTGTTAAGTCTAGTAGAGAATAATTACACTATTGAATTAGTTTATAAAGATTACAATAGAACAATTTAAAACATGACGTATTACAATTTAGTACTATTTAAAACAACAAAATTTAGACATCCTAATTTTGAAGTAGTGAGTGGTTGAGCAATCCTCAGCACAATATGAGTAACTGGTTGGTATTAGGTTCGGTTTGTCTGGTTAATTTTGGGTGATAAGGTGATTTCTTAGTAGGACCTTAAACTGATTTGCAGACAGGGGTCTTTAGTGTATTTTGGCAATGTATTCACGGTCTTCAGGCCCTTTACGTGCATAGGGAGAGAAGGACACAAGGAATATTGAAGAGTGTTTTGTGTCTCATATTGTGGCTATGTGTTCTGTTATAGTTATCAAGGAGGAGGGTTTATATTTGGGTATAGTGTTCTGTGTATGTAGTAGGCACAATAATAAGTGTGGATGTTTTGTATATTAAGCAAGTTAAGACTCTTGAAAAGTGGTGGAGTGTGTTGTTTAATGCAGGAGTTAGCAATCAATTGCACTGCAGCTTTTTGTTGGGTTATTAAAGGCATAAGGTGATTTGCTGTGGTTGAGCCCCATGCATAAATACCATAGGTGAGGTAAGGGTAAATGAGAGAGTGGTACAGAGCTAGAAGAGCTGATTGGGGTACATAGTACTGTATCTTTGAAATGATGCCTACAGTTTTGGAGACTTTCTTGGAAATTTGGTGTATGCGTGTCTGAAATTTAAGACTGCAGTTGAGGTGGAGACTTAGAAATTTGCCCTCTGTCTGTCTGTCTAGAAATGGGTGAAATATATATCAATATGTTTAGCTGTACATTTGAAGCTTTGTTTCCAAAAGGCATGAAGTAGGTTTTGTCTATATAGAGTAAGTTTGTTGGTAGTCATCCAAGTACAGTGGAGCCTCGGTTTTCGTTGAATTCGATTTTCGACAACTTTTTTTGTCAAATTTTTGTCTCAGTTTTTGTTCATCACCTCAGTTTTCATCGAGTTGACAGTGGTCTACCATACCGAATTTGTCCGCCTCTCTTATAAGCATATTCTGTATAGATCAGTTTTTTGTAAATGCAATTCAAAAAGTACGAACATATAATATTGAATAGCTTGGACCATGAAGGCCATTTTTTCAGTTGCATTTACAAAAATAACACTATATAGAAGAGCTTTATAAGAGTTGACTGTATTTAAGCCAGATTTAACTTTGTCCAAACAAGACATTGATATACCTGTCTATAGGCAACATTTAACATCTGTTTGTGAACTTAGTCTTTGATGCACAGGTCTGGCATGTGTTTGTGATGCACCATCTAGCAATGTTACTCACTTGTTTGAAATTCATCAGATTATCTTGGTAGTCACATATACATAAATTACTTAGGATAACCCAAGAAAGCCATATAGATTAAATTTGTTCAATTGTGGTTAGTCCTTGTCATATATTTTTTTACTTAATTTACAGCTGAAAGTTTTGAATCAGACATGGGAAAGGCTATGAAAAATTGTTGACCTCTATATGTGACATTAGTTTTTCATATACATACCATTATTTTCTTTTTTTAACACTGGCTGTCTCCCACTGAGGTAGGGTGACTTGAAAAAGAAGAAACACTTTCGCCATCACTGTCTTACCAGAGGCACACCAATACTACAGCTCAGATGCCTTTCCAAACTGCAAATATCTCCACCCCTCCTTCAGAGTGCAGGCACTGTTCTTCCCACCTCCATGACTCGAGTCTGGCTAACCATTTTTCCTGAATCCTTTCATAAATGTTACTTTGCTCACACTCCAACAGCACATCAAGTAAAAAATCACTTGCCTCCACTCTCACATGCCTGTAGGTCATTGATACAGCGATAAAAAATATATGAAAGAATTAAGAAGGAAGATTTCTTAACCCCATCAACTGGCAAAACAGAAGGCCAATAACTATATTTTATAAGATCTTCTGTAAGCTCTGGTAGAGCAGTTTACAAGAGGAAGAAGCAAGTGTGCTACCACCGCTGGAAACTTACTACAAGTGCAGCAGGTAATCACACACATAAGAACAAGGAAAACGCTACAGGTTAGCTGTTACTTCATTTGGGTCACTTACTATTTTTTTTGTTTATTTATGTTATATTTTTTTAAATTTTCAACTCCATGGGGAAGTGGAAAAGAATTCTTCCTCCATTAAGCCATGCGTGTCGTAAGAGGCGACTAAAATGCAGGGAGCAAGGGGCTAGTAACCCCTATACCTGCATAAATTAATAAATTTAAAATGAAAAATTTCTCGTTTTTGTTTTTAGGTCACCCTGCCTTGGTGGGATACGGCTGGTGTATTAAAAAAAAAATTTAAATACTAGTGTTATTTGCATCAGTGATGCATCTTAACGGTGTGCTCTCATTTATAATATTACTGATTAACCAGTGCTTATCTCTATGCATTTTAAATTTAAAATGGCCATTCTAAATGTATTTATTGTTTCTTGAGTGCTTGTGTGAAAGATATTTAATTGAGTAGGAAAATACTGATGTTTTTCATGCTGCATGCGTGTATGTGAATATTTAGTCTTTTACAGGAATGATCATTGAATGACCTATTGATTGAAGCACCTCATCAATTTTAAAATTTTCTTCACTCTCTCTCATCTTCTCGGAACTAGCGTTTTACACTTGGTTAGTTACTCAAAAAAAATGTCATACTTGCTAATAAGTGTTGTGTGTCAAATACAAGTATAAAATATTTGAAGTGAACACACATTAGTTTACGTAATATACCACACTGTATAATACTGTAAACAGTAAATGTAATACCAAATATAATTCATAATAGTTTATGTCAACGCTTTATGAGGAAAATAAGTACATGTATTTTTTCTTTTAATTCTTTATTTATGAGGAGACAAACAACATTGTTAAAAAGTTTTTATATGTAATTTTACGTTTTCATATAGAGGTATAAAAGAAAACATTGTCCTGGCTTGAAAGGGGTAACTCACCTTAAAAAAGGGTTACTTAAACAGAAATGTAATTGTACTTTCATTTGCTGATTTAGAAAAACCAACACAGCTCATGTCCTGAGGATGATGGTTTTTACATAGTTCAGTATTTTATTTATAATTGCTGTCCATTGCCTTGTGGTTATTGTATATTTAATTTTGTAGGAAGATGACGGCAGTTTCCGGGGTTGTGTCCGTGTTCATCTTAACCTTAGCCGTCCTATCAATATTGTGGCCGGAACAAGACCCCCTTCAATATACGACATCCTTCAGGAAGACAGAACAATGGAAAAAACTTTAACATCATTCTATATGCCCCGAGATGCAGTGAAAGCTATTCACATCACAAGGTAAAAATAAACCTAGACTACATGAAATAGCTAAACTATAATACAGTATAGTATACTGTAATTTATATTCTACAAATTTTTGATAATGACACAAACACACAAATAGAGATAATAAACAAAGTAAGTTTAGAGAAGTGACTACTTTTATGGTACTCAATTTATTAGACAAAAATTTAACATTTATTTTTTATTTTTTCAGCAATACAACCACAAGAGAAGTCATTATTGCATTACTGAGAAAATTCAAAGTTGTTGACAACCCACAAAAGTTTGCTCTGTATGAGAGAACATATGACACTGCACAGTCTGTAAAAGGTATTTGTTACATTTTCATAATTATTAATAATCTGCAAAGTATTCATGATATCAAATTACCTCTATTGTTTAACCCTTAATGCAAAGACTGACTAACATAATGGGTTACCTGCCATCACTTCCCGAGTAACTTGGAGAATGTCCCTCCACGAGACAACTGCAATAATGGATTCAGATTAGATAAGTTTAGATTTAAAAAGGATATAGGAAAGTATTGGTTTGGAAATAGGGTAGTTGAGTGGAACAGTCTACCTAGTAGGATGATTGAAGCTAAAACCTTGGGTAGTTTCAAGTTTAGGTTGGATAAATACATGAGTGAGACTTGCACACAAGTTAATAGATTTATCAGAGCTTATTGTTAAGGTAGCACTGAAAATGGGTTGGGTTGTAAAAGTCCTGCCTAGTATGGGCCAACAGACCTACTACAGTGTTCCTCCCTTCTTATGTTCTTATAAACCTATTGGGTCATACAGTGCCTGGGGAATTAAAGGCAGTCATGTTCAACCCAAAGAATGGCAGCTCCAATTCTTAATGAACAATTAATGTATCATTGTTACAAACAACTTTATCACATTTGCACAAGCATCCGATGTATCAGTATGACAGCTGCAGTACATTGTGATTTATGACAGAGAAATAACGAAAAAAGGTACAATACCGTGACTGGAGCGATACACAGATAACCCGCACATAGAAGAGAGGAGCTTACGATGACGTTTAGGTCCAAGTCAGACCGAAACGTCGTCGTAAGCTCCTCTCTTCTATGTGTGGGTTATTTATGACAGAGAATATTCATTGCCATTCAGTAAATGCATTTCACTCTGCCACTCCAAACATGTTAAGAATAATGTGAGACTAAACATGACAATCAGTTATTCTCTGCCAGGAAGGGATTATTATTAGATTCTTGCAAAGCAAGACATTTAGTGCTACATGGTGAAGGAGGTAGATATTATACCAGTATAAAAACAGAAGGCAAGTACTGTACTGATGGTAAGTACACACAGGCATGAGGAGGAATTCAGTGTCAGTACACCAAATTAGCTTTTGATAAACTCATTAGCTATACTGTGCTTTAAAGGTGAGACATTCAGGGAAGGGTATTAAAGGTAGGATTGAAAAATACAGTAGTTAGCATACTCTGGGGCAGTGCCAAGGAGAGTTACCGAGGTTTCAACCTCCATGTAATTTTCTTAGATCCTCCCGTAATAAAATAATGCTGCTTAACAACAAACAGCCATCCCTAAGTTCCCCATCCTCTTCCCTCCCCAGTATGGAAATTTTGGCACCACCCCTGAGCATACTCTCTGATAAACTAAGCAAATCTTGCAGTAGTTCAAAATGCCTTTCAGTGAGATGGCCTTGGGTGAGTCATGAGATAGTAAGTAGAGGTAAGAATGTTGTACAGTACTCTCACTGATGATAATGATATTAAATCAAATGAACTGCAACAGTAGAACAAGAGAAAATGGTCCTCCATTTGTTTGACAGTGTTAGTGGCCTAAAAAAATTACATTTGTCCACTGAGTTGAAAAATACAATGTCTGCATTGTGAAGGATAAGCAGGGCTGTTGTAGTTTAGAGGCTTATTTGAATTGTGATGTTTATGCATTTCTGGCAAAACAACTATTGAACAAAAAAATGGTGAATGTTTCCTTCTTTAGGTCACGCTACCTTAGGAGACAAATGATGTAAAAAAAATCCATCCATTGAATACCAGTATGTCTAATAAAAAATTGGAGAGAGCTAAATTTTTTTTTGCATTATTGTAACAGTAAATTTACACAAATAATCCACACATAGAAGAGAGGAGCCTACGACGACATTTCAGCCCAACTTGGACCATTTACAAAGTCATACTAATGAAAAGGAGTGCAGGATGAGTATATATAGGCAGGACGTGGTAGTAGGGAGAGGAGGAGCCAGTCAAATACTAAGAAAGAGGAGCACTGCAAGGGAGCTAGGTGCCCACAGAGGAGGGTAAAATAAATAAATAAAGAAGGAATAAATACACAGGGCAGAAGAAAGACAACCCAAAGGAGAAAAAAGGAAAGAAGGAAAATAAGAAAAAGGAGGAATCAGGTTAGGTCACGGGTGTTCTGAAATTTGGAGCATTTTACAATGTAGTGGGAGAGGAAGCCAGGACTAAGATTCATACAAGGAAAGCTGTGTATTAGGGAGGATTCAAGCAGACAGTGACTGTTAAAGTTGGAAGTAGGGAAGACAGCTTTAGCAGAAGACCAGTCAATAGGATGGATGTGATCTCTGACATGACAGAAAAGCATTGTTATTGTCGGCAAGCCTAACTACTTTTGTGCTCCCTAAGTCTGTCAGAAAGAGATTGGCCAGTTTCTCCAAAGTATTGAAGAGGACAGGAGGAACAAGAAATAGAGTAGACACCAAGAGCATCCATAGAGGAAGGAGAGGTATGAATGAAATTAGTGCGAAGTGTGGTAGTCTGGCTTCATCTCTGTAGATGCCTTCCTCTCCCACTACATTGTAAAATGCTCCAAACTTCAGAACACCTGTGACCTAACCTGATTCCTCCTTTTTCTTCTTCTCCCTCTTTTCTTCTTTGGGTTGTCTTTCTTCTGCCCTGTGTATTTATTCCTTCTACCCCCCTTGGTGTTCTTGCTCTTACCCTCTGTGGGCACCTAGCTCCCTTGCAGTGCTCCTCTTTCTTAGTATTTGACTGGCTCCTCCTCCTCTCACTACTACTACCTTCCACCACCTCCTGCCTATATATACCCATACTGCTCTCCTTTTTGTTAGTGTGACTTTGTAAATGGTCCAAGTCAGACCGAAACGTCGTCATTGGCTCCTCTCTTCTACGTGCGGGTTATTTGTGTATCATTCCAGTCACAGTATTGTGCCTTTTTTTGTTATTTACAGTAAATTTATGTTAACTTGTGCTAATCCTACTTGTAGTTGGACACATTCATCAATGTAATAATGTTTATCTCATAGTATTTTTATACCAACAGCTAAACTTCGACGATTGGGTGACAATGAGTGTCCCCTTGTTTTGGCTCTAAACTGGAGTGCAGGTGGACTAACCAACAAGAGGCTTGTTTTACAAGAAAATGATACAGCAGATATACAGGTAAAGAATTTAAATAAGTATAAAACTTAATGTTGCATAGATTGTTACCCATAATATACTTTATAAATATATATTAATGGACATAGTTTTAAAACTCAACAGGAAAAGTTTATGGCAAAGAGACACCACCAAACTATTTCAATAGTGAGTGTGCAGTTGCTTGGTTTTTATTCACTAGTTTGTAGTTACACTCACTGGTGGCCATAACTTCAGTATATAGTATAATCTGTGGTAGATTTCTAAAATTTTCATTGGTTGTAGCACATGCTACTTGCTATTCCATTATTCTACCACTCTGTGAAGAAAACCTTTCTAGCATTATTTCATTATCTCTCTTGTTTTTTTTTCCTTCAGTTTGTAACTGTAGTTTCTTGAACCATTTTTTATTAAGTATGCATTATTCTAATTACTTTGTTCTTTTTTTTCAGTGGGAAGCTTTTAGTTTACCAGAACTAAGTAATTTTCTTCGTATCTTGGATAGAGAAGAAGAAGAATACCGATGTCAGATTCAAGATAAATATGCTTTACTTCGCAGAAGAATTGGTAATATATTGTTTCAGTCTCAACAGAAAACAAAGGAGTAAGATTGTTATGCGTTATGTATTTTAATGTGATAAGATTATCACTTTCACAGGAAAATGTGATGAAAGTTAATACACCGGTACGTATTCATAAGACAATGTAGTAAAATCATTGCACAGGTAGTATATGAGCTAAAATTTGAATCATGATAATTCGTTGAAATGCCGAGATTTAAACCTGTGATCTGGTCCTCAGATTAAAGGTATATGATGAAATCTATCAATGAGCTCTTAAAAGGCATACCATTTTCACTGGTGAAGTCTAATTATTACCATTTTATTTTAAAAATATCCGTTGTTAATGGCAGTTCTCTTGACTTTGACATCTCTCTCTTTTAACACTTAACACTTCTTTCTCATTCACACAGGTTCTTTAAATTGTGACAGAACTTACCAGCCAAACACACTTAACCCCTAAACGGTCCAAACGTATATATACGTTCTTATGCATAGCGCCCCAAACATATATATACATTTTAATTTTCCTGCCTCCAAATTTGGCACGATTGACCTGAGATGCCTGGTCAGCATAGAATTGGTCTTAACACTAGGTGTGTGCAGTATTAAAAAAATCTGGGACCACTTAGTACCTTGTGGGAGCGCCAGCTAGAGCAAACACCAAGGATTCACTGATGTAATGTCCTATTAACACTCCTCTTTTAAGAGGAAAGTCATGTTAACCCCAAGTTTAGGGTCTAACGATCTCTGTCTCACAGGTACACATAGTATAAATTACCTAGGATAACCAAAAAATCCAGACAAAGTGCTATACTCTGCTTGAAGATGTGAGTAAACGTGATGATGCAGTCTTGTGGCTCTCTGAGACAGAGTGCTAGATGGATAAACAGGGAGCTTGACAGACAGAAATGTTTGTGTACCAGCAAAAACAAAGCGAGGTGGATGGTCATGTAATCTTTTCTTATCAGCTGCACCCTCCCCTACCCTCGTGTATGTTCATCAAACGTCAGGTGTTATCTCCCCTTATCATGTCACTGTCAAGAGTGGACTTTGTTTTTCATGCTTCAAGGGAACTTATTATTATTCTCCTCCTCCTCATTATTATTATATACTTCCACATATCTAAAACATTGCTGGGACCTATAAATACTTTGTTTATATTCCAAGACAATAGTAAATGACCAAGGCAGGTGTAAATGTCCACGTGACAATTTGAGTACCTAATACTAGTGTCAGAACAAAGATTGGTTATGAAATGACAAGAACTACTATAAATTGTAATTATCAGAACATAAAAAGAAAAATAGAAAAAAAGGTATATCGGCAACACTTCTGCGAGCAGCAGGACTCCATGTTGCCGTCACATGAGCATCCAGTGCCAACTTCTCTGCCTCATATCTCTAAGTACTGACCCTAATTTTTTTTTATTCTAAAACACGTGCTCTTTTTTTTCTATGAAAAACAAAAGGATTTTTTTTTTTTTTTTCAAAATATTGGGGGCGCTGCTCAAGTGAACGTATATATACGTTTGGACCATGTAAGGGTTAAAATACTTCAGTTACATTTATTTTACACATCTACTTCTATTTTGGCTAATCTCTCTAAGTTTTTATCAAACTAATAATAGTATACTAATTAAAAATTATTTTAATTATCATCATCAGTTTGTTAAATAATGAATAACAACATGATATATTGGTCTACATCTAAGAGACTAAGTTTAGCATTTTAACAATACATATTTTTTTTTTTTTAAGTAAACAATAATTGATTCATTTAAGAGTTTGACTTACACAACTGTTTTGGAAAGCCTGTTATACCTAGGTAAATAATTTTTACATTTCATCTTGGTAACCAGTTTAACAATAATTTATAGTTATCTAGTCAACATTTTAGAACTGGAGCATAATTTTTAATATAAAATATTGATTTTCTTCTCATTAAAATCATTTGCATTGAAAAATAATAAAATTATTGTTATACAGCCTCACCTCACTTAACGGTGGAGTTCCACTCCTAAGACCACGTCTTTCAACGAATTCGTCACTAATTGAGGAGCATACTATAACGGTAGTGGGTTTGTGTCAACCATCTTTGATAATGTTACCTTTGCACCATTCATAACATTTCTGGTATATTTTTAAATGTTTATACAGCAGTGTACGATATATTGTAATAAACAGAATAGGGGAAATCGGCTCTAATATACATTAACGTATTTAGGTATGCATACTGGTCAGAAAGCCCATTTTAAGTCTGAGTCGTCGGTAAACGAGTACGTCCCTAAGTGAGGAGAGGCTGTATTCATATAAAAAAGTGTTAGGCCCGTATAAGTATAGACAATCTCAGTTAGTGTAAAAGTAATTAATGCTAGTTCCCCTCCTCCCAAATTCTTCAAATTGTGTGCAGAAAATTGCATATAATTCAAACAGTGCGAATTTGAATAATGTGACCACTTCAGAGATTCATTATTTGCACTAATCAAGACCTAGCTGTACAGTAATAATTATTCCTCTCCTCTTTCCATCAGTATGTGACCTGCAGTCATAAGTTTATATACCCAAAGTTTTCACTTGAATATGAGTCTCCATGTAGTGCACTGGAAATTTTTCAAGTAACAGCCCAAAAAAAATAGTATATACTGTATATTAAAAATGTTTTTTTTCTTTCTCAGCAGGGTAATACCAATAAGAAAAATCTTAGAAACTAATAAAACAATAATTTTGTCTTTTCGACAAACCGGCCATATCTCACCACGGCAGGGTGGCCCAAAAAGAAAAACAAAAGTTTTTCTTTTTAAATTTAGTACACCTACCATCCGACTTACGACCGTGTTTTTTATGCCAAATTTCTGAGGAATAAACAACTATTTGTGTTGTACACAGTGTTTATCCTAAACCTTACAGTATAAAATACAGTACTAACAACATAAAAAGTAAAGTAAAACATGAAATACCAAAATAAAGTCATTACAAAAATGTTTTGTTGATATTCAGCAGTCAAGTTCGACTTATGACCGGTTTCTCGGAACCGAACTCGGTCGTAAGTCGGATGGTAGGTGTAATTTGTAGAGGAGAAGGGGTCACTAGCCCCCCCCCCCTTTCCCAGCATTTTAGTTGCCTCCTACAACACGCATGGCCTACAGAGGAAGAATTCTGTTCCACTTCCCCATGGAGATAAGAGGAAATAAACAAGAACAAGAAAGAAAATCCAGAGGGGTGTGTATATATATGCGTAGTGTGACCTAAGTGTAAGAAGAAGTAGCAAGATGTACCTGAAATCTTGCATGTTTATGAGACAGAAAAAAGACACCAGCAATCCTACCATCATGTAAAACAATTACAGGTTTCCATTTTACACTCGGCAGTTGCTGTCTACTACCTACATAAAACAATAATATATACTTTAAATACTGACCAAACTGTGAAAATAAAGTTAGGTAAGATATACTTTTAATGTAGAATTAAAGAAGTGACAACTATGTAATTCTTACAAAAAAAGTCAAAATTAATCACATTTATATAAATATCAAGCTGTACGACCGATACGGGTTTAACGCTTATTTTGGAATATAATAATTACATCTCGCTCTAGCTACCTCATAAATTCATGTGTTGGGGATCATGAAAATATTATGAAGTACATCCATCTTCAACAAATTATGTATATCTTACACTATCTTTAACAGTCATTAGGGTGCTTCATGTACTGCTGAACCCTATGAAATTTCTGTATACAGATATTAATCATAAAATTAAATTACATTATATTTATGGAAAGTTCATAATTATAACAAGAATACATTTCAAGGTTATTTGAATGCTATATATATTTTGAAAACCTTGATTTCTCTTGTGAAAGTACCCACCTCTCCTTAAACAAAGATATTCTCAGTGTACAGTGGAACCTTGGTTTTTGTATGCAAAACTAGTTATTCTCTATAAAATGTATTGTTTGTTAATATTTTGGGGGCACTAAATTATTATGTTCATCCTGCATGAAGCATTTAAACCCTTGTGGGACATTTAGTGCAATGAGTGGTGGAGGCTTGAGCCTCCATCCACCAACTGTGAGAAACTTGCTACTTGCCTAATTATATGTAAAGTTGGAGGAAACATAGTACACCTGTAAAATTGACATAAGAAAAGAATCATTAAAACAAATTGTTAAGTATTAAATAAGATAATGCCAAGTGCTTATATTTAGAATTACAGCAGTTGAAGAGAAGCCAACAAAATCAACAGGGTTTTCGTGTGATACCTTTGCCTATTATTATTACCAATTTAAGCATTAAACCCAAGATACTTGTGTAGAGGCTTAATTTGTTTCTGATATTAGTACAGTAGATACACTTGAGACCATGGAAGATGTATGTACCCTTGGTTTATGGTAACTATACATTTACTTTGTTTTCAGTTTTATTTTGAAAAACGAAAAATTTAAATAATTATATCTTTCTGATAATGTCATTACAAAATATTCTTAGGATATGAGGTAGTTTAAGAATTTACATAACCACTTAAAATCTAATGTATAAATTATCATTAATAATGTACCTGTTGCAGCGAACATTAATGTTATTTAAAAAACATTCTTGTATGGAAATGGGCCATAGTTGAAATGCAGCCATTCACTCTATTTTTATAAGCATTTAATTCTAACAAATGAAGAATAATTATTTTAACCTGTTGTATGAGCGTTATTACATTCACGAGGAAACACTGAACCCATAGGGATCATTCAACACCTGGGGGAGTGGAAGGCATTCAGGATCAATTAAAGAAGCTGGATCATAGGTCCAGCTGCTCAGACCTGTTGTTAGAACATTTTTATTAACCCACCAGTGAAACTTGTACAATTTTACATCATTGTCTAATACCTGAAATGTCAATTATCTACATTTTGTTATTTATAATTTTCATTATTTCAAAGAATGTAACTGACAAGGCATTTTGGTTGCTCAAACTATTTGAGCACAGTCAACCTTTACTACCTCTTGGTAAACAATCTCAGTATACTGATTATTTAAAATATTGTAATTTTTATACCTATATTATATTAACTTTTGATGGAGGGAGGCTGGTGAAAGTGCTGATGTATCTCGCTTTCTTTTTGTGATTGAATATGCAGGAAGCAATCATTCTCACTCATACATGCACAAAGAGAGATCAATACAATGACTAATGGGATTAATAAATTCGTCTGCAGTAGTCTTAGAATACCTCGGATAGGTCACTCTATAGTAGCTTCATAATGTTAACCTCTGTTAGTGGTAAAAAATTTGATTAAAAACTGTAACTAATTTATTTAAATAATGGTCCAATGCTTTGTGTTGCTTTCTTATTTGGCTACTGCCTTGGTTCCCATTCCACCACCTTTGTCCCTAAAGTGGCTTCTCAGTATTCATTTTAATTTTTGTATATATGACCATTGCTATTATAACCAAAGAAAAATATATGTTATCCTATGCACAGTATTACCTCTAATCCTTTTTATTATTTATTGCTATAAATAAATTCTGGAATTTAAAAATTAATTTACTTGTTTTATATATAATACACTATAGATTATAATTTGATCATGATTACAAGCTAATAATATGTTTATTTCTTTAAAATTAGATATAAAGGGTAATGAAGTATTACAAAGTGCTTCATAATAAATATTACTATTTGTTATAACAGAGAAATGTTTACAAATTTCTAGTCATTCTGTATCTTGTGTGCTGAGTACCACTAACACCAGTAAAGCACATCATCTTGCAGTCTTCACAGATAGATACTGCAATAAGTTCCAACCACCTACACATGCTTATTTACCAAGACTAAACAGTACCATGTAAGCTGTTTTTTTAAGCACATTTAGTTATTCAAAGTATTTTTTTAAAGGGAGTTTCAAAATAATTTCCATACATTATATTTTATTCTCATCCAGCTGTAAATTTAGCAAAGATCTTACACAGAATACTCTTATTATTTTAATGTACAGTATTTTGGCCAAAATCATATTTTTTATGTACACACTTTGAATTTTCTCTTCACATAATTTATTTTATTCCCAATATGATCACAAGTTTTTTCTATCATATAATATTTATGTATTTTTCACATATGATCATGAAGAGACTATATTCCATGCAATTTAATAAAAGGCTTCCTATTATACAATTCTTGATTAAGTCACTTATTATATAATTATGCACAAAATTCTAAAATGGGTTTAAAATGTAACATATTTTAGGCCCTATTAGGTCCCAAAACTATAAAATTCATCAATCATGTAAGATAAAATCCTACATACATTTAAATTTAAAATGACTGTTTTCTATCTACTAGTTGTTTGGCCTGACATAAATACGTATATTTATTTACAAAACTTCATTACTTGTGGCATGAACCTACTTGATACACCTTAACAATATATTGGATATCTTAAGTCATTATTCAAAAGGTAGTAGGTAAAGCACTGTGCTTAAATGGACTGAAGTCCTTTTTCGAGCATGGCGAATAGTTGCCAGTGATGAAGGCCAGAGGATACTCTGGGTAATGCTTCATCTCACATTTGAAACTAAAGTTTTATGTCATACATCTGATTCATCAATTACATTGTGTGTACGTGCAATATATGATGGTTATGGTTGTGTATTACTCGAATCATGTTGAAAATATTTTACAGCAGGACGGTGATAAAACTTCCTATGTTCTGCCGTACATTCATGGAATTCTGTCAATGGTTACTCTATATGATTGAAAAACTTAATGTACAAGGTATAAAAACTAAAAAATTGTTAAAAGTATTTGAAAATCAGTTCAAGAAACTAAAATGTTTTTCTCTTCATAAAACAAGATATGATCAACTTTGACAACTACTGTAATAGCCCATGCAGAATATTTTATTCAATTATGATACTGCATTAATACAATAATTAAGAAGCTGCATAATCACAAAAGTAGACTTAAACCATTCACAACAGAAATATAAAACAATCAAAAAGTCATCCTTCAAAATAAGAAAAAGTATATACCGTATATGCCTCAAGTTAAGACAAAGATAATGAAATGTTTTGATTCCAGTATGATGTACCATTTATGTTCATATGTACCTAAGTTAAATAATATGATAAAACAAGTCAACCATGAATTGTTTTTTTTGTGTGTTCATGCTTCAATTTGTTGTGTGATTATCTTATTACCTAAGGTCAAAATAAAATTTATTCTTGTTATGTAATGATTCAATGTTGCTAAAGGCAAATAAAAATAAAATTACAGTATATGATATTGTATAATTTTTGTTGTCTTTACAAAAATGTAGTAAACTAGTCATAATGCAAAGATGCCACTGCAGAAGTGACTATGCTTGAGAGCAGAACTTTAACAGTATGTATATTTTGCTCAAGTGTATTATAGTTGATATAAAAGAGCAGAATAAATAAAGCGTTTTATTTATAACTATATTTTGTCACTAATACCTAATCTTAAAAAAAAAAAAAATTCAAATTATGTCACATATTTATTTATGTTGGCATAGTATAAGTCGACCTCCTAAAAATTTGATGTTATTACATGTTTAGGCCTATAAGGTTATATGCAATAACCGTATATTCACCTCTGCCATGAATTGGCAATTTTTATACTTGGCACATTAGTCACCCCTAGTTTTGATTTTTTTTTTTTTTAATACTTTAGAAGTCGACTTACATCCAGTATGTATATATATATACATATTTTTTTTAGCAACAGCCATCTTCTGCCAAGACAGAGTGACCTAAAAAAAAGAAAATACATTCACCATTATTCATTCAATTACTTTCTTGCCAGAAGTGTGCTGATATCACAATTCCAATTACCCATTGACTGCAACATGCAGACACTGCCCTTCCCACCTCCAGAAAAATGACTTTCCCTGAATCCCTTCGTCAAATGTTACAATTGCTGACAGTCGCCATCATTCGTTCAAGCACTATCTTCTTGCTATGTACAAAATGCAATAAAACGGTGTCTACAAACTTAAACCAGATGCATAATTCTGTCATACAACACAAATTGGTATACCTACAGCAGACTGAAGCTTTAATTACTTGTTTTTTCCAAACTTCTGTCTTTCTCTGTACTTCTTTATAAATTTCAGGGTTGATTTGTTTCTTATCCCATATTCAATTAGCTTGATGTTATCATCAGTCAGTTTCTCTCCATTGTAACAAAGCCAGTATGTCTTCCAAATATATCGCCAGCTAATTTTTTTCTTCACTCCTCTTCGACTCTTAAAAACAAGAGAATACACAGAGTTTGCATAATATTTTTATGTGTAATAATTTTTGCATCACAAATTCAAAAACATTTATTCCACAATGATACATACAGGAACATGTAAGTTGTATAGATAATGCAGCATGAATACGTACATATACAGCCTCTCCTCACTTAATGACAAAGTTCCATTCCTAAGACCTCATCGGTAAACGAATTCATCACTAAGTGAGGAATAGGCCTGGTCACAGACCGGGCCGCGGGGGCGTTGACCCCCGGAACTCTCCAGGTAAACTCCAGGTATACTATAATGGTAGAGAGTTTGTGTCGACCATCATCTCTGCACCATTTATAACAGTTCTGGTATATATTTCAATGTTTATACTGTATATTGAAAGAGAGAATAGAGGAAATCAGCTCTAATATACATTATTTAGTTATGAATACTGGTTAGAGAGCCTGTCATAAGTCCGAGGTGTCGGTAAACAAGCATGTCGCTAAGTGAGGAGACGCTGTATAGTAGTACTGTAGTACTGAGATCTTGTGAAAATAAATCTTTCTTCTTTCAACACACCAGCCACATCCCACCAAGGCAGAATGGCCCCCCCAATTTTTTTTTTTTTTTTTAATTTAGTAATGTATACAGGAGAAGGGGTTACTAGCCCCTTGCTACGGGCATTTCAGTTGCCTCTTACGACACGCATGGCTTACGGAGAAAGAATTCTGTTCCACTTCCCCATGCAATACATTATTGTATATGGACAGAAAATCAAGGTGTCCAGATGCCAGCAAAGAGCTCTTGATTCAGGAAACTGGAGCTACATTCCTTCTTTCCTGGAGTGAATCCAATTGCTCTCCATTCCCTCAGTGTTCTATGACCCTATGGGTTTTAGCACTATGCAGAGGAATGAATCATATATGTCTAATGAAAGAACTACTGTTGGCTTCATAAAGAAATAAGATGAACAAAAATTACTTAGTTTCAGTGCCAGGATTATTGATGCAGCATTCAGAGAGCTACATGATTATATGAAGCAGAAATAAACTAGATATTGAGCAATGGATAAACTTTTTATACTGCTGTATACATTAGCTGGACTTCAGTCCTGGAAATGGGAAGTACAGTGTCTGCACTCTGGAGGAGGGGTGGGGATGCTGCAGTTCTGGAGGTGGTGAGAGGCACAGTGCCTACACTCTGAAGGAGGGGTGGAGATGCTGAAGTTCTGGAGGTGGTGGGAGGCATAGTGCCTCCACTCTGAAGGAGGGGTGGAGAATGCTGAAGTTCTGGAGGTGGTGGGAGGCATAGTGCCTCCACTCTGAAGGAGGGGTGGGAATGCTGAAGTTCTGGTGGTGGGAGGCATATTGCCTACACTCTGAAGGAGGGGTGGGAATGCTGAGGTTCAGGTGGTGGTGAGAGGCACAGTGCCTGCACTCTGAAGAAGTGAGGATGCTGAAGTTCAGAGAACTATCTGAACTGTGAGGCCAGTACACTTCTTGTGAGAAAGCTACTTAATGACTGCAAATGTGTTTCAGCCAGAATATTAACCCTTAAACTGTCCAAACGTTCGTGTGGCGCTCCGAATATTTTGAAAAATAAAAAAATCTTTTTTTTCTTTTAAAATGAGGAGCACATTTTTCTACATGTTATAGGATTAAAAAAAAAATTAGGGTCAGTACTTACTGAGATGTAAGACCTTGAAGTTGGCTCTGGATGCTCACCTGTCATCAACATCGACTCCTGCCACTTGCAGAAGTGTTGCCAATATACCTTTTTTTCTTGTTTTTATTTTAATTTATATATTTTTTATGTTCTGATAATTACAATTTATCCTAGGTAGTAGGTTGGTAGACAGCAACCGCAAAGGGAGGTACTACCGTCCTGCCAAGTGAGTGTAAAACAGAAGCCTGTAATTGTTTTACACGATGGTAGGATTGCTGGTGTCTTTTTATTCTGTCTCATATACTTGCAAGATTTCAGGTACCTCTTGCTACTTCTACTTACACTTAGGTCACACTACACATACATGTACAAGCATATATATACACACCCCTCTGGGTTTTCTATTTTCTTTCTAGTTCTTGTTCTTGTTTATTTCCTCTTACCTCCATGGGGAAGTGGAACAGAATTCTTCCTCTGTAAGCCATGCGTGTTGTAAGAGGCGACTAAAATGCTAGGAGCAAGGGCCTAGTAATCCCTTCTCCTGTATAAATTACTAAATTTAAAAAGAGAAATTTTCGTTTTTCTTTTTGGGCCACCCTGCCTTGGTGGGATACAGCCCGTTTGTTGATAAAAGAAAAATTACAATTTATAATAGTTCTTGTAATTTCATAGCCAATCTTTGTTCTGACACTAATATTAGGTACTGAAATTGTGCTCAAACTGTCACAATCACATTGACAGGTGAACATTTACACCTGCCTGGGTTATTTACTATTGTCTAGAAATATATACAAAGTATTTATAGGTCCCAGCAATGTTTTAGATACCCTGGAGTATACCTTGAAGCATGGTGTTATGAAAGGCATCCCTATACTGTTGGCAGCCCGGTGACATTTGATAAATGCCCACTGCTCCAGCTAACCCTCGCTGTATTTGTTATCACTGTTACACACAAACATGTCTTGTCTCTCTGTCTATCTGAAAGTCTATCTGCCTCTGCTTATCTGTCTTTCTGTCTGCCTGGAGTATACATATATCACACTCCTTGAAGAATTATGCTATGACATCTGTTATCAGCTTGGTGACATTTGATAAATGGGTGCTCGGGGAACCCTGGCTTTATTTGTTTTCACTGATACACGCAAACATGTTTCTGTCTGTCTATCTTTGCCTGGAGTGACTTCAAGAGTGTATCAGTCTGTAGTGGAAGGAAGGCGGGGTAGGGGTCGGCCTAGGAAAGGTTGGAGGGAGGGGGTAAAGGAGGTTTTGTGTGCGAGGGGCTTGGACTTCCAGCAGGCATGCGTGAGCGTGTTTGATAGGAGTGAATGGAGACAAATGGTTTTTAATACTTGACATGCTGTTGGAGTGTGAGCAAAGTAACATTTATGAAGGGGTTCAGGGAAACCGGCAGGCCGGACTTGAGTCCTGGAGATGGGAAGTACAGTGCCTGCACTCTGAAGGAGGGGTGTTAATGTTGCAGTTTAAAAACTGTAGTGTAAAACACCCTTCTGGCAAGACAGTGATGGAGTGAATGATGGTGAAAGTTTTTCTTTTTTGGGCCACCCTGCCTTGGTGGGAATCGGCCAGTGTGATAAAAAAAAAAAAAAAAAAATTACACTATGTACTTATGTGTACATGTGAGATAGATAGATATATAGACAGACAGCCAGCCGGCCAGCCTGCTGAATACATAAGAACATAAGAAAGAAGGAACACTACAGCAGGCCTACTGGCCCATGCAAGGAAGGTACATGTCACCCTCTCCCCTGGCTTAGACCAATGACCCACCTAGTCAGGTCACATCCATTGAAGAAAGGAGCATGACATCAGACCTAGTAGCACAAGCTAGCCATGTCCAACTCACACCCACCCACTCACTCATGTATTTATCTTACCTATTTTTACTTTCTTCTTAAAATGGGAGTGTTAATGAGACATGGCATCAGTGAATCCCTGGTATTTGCTATAGCTGGCACTCAATTGAACTGGTGCCCCCACAAGGTACTAAGTGCTCCCAGATTTTTTTTAATAGTGTGCACACTGAGTGCACAGACCTATTCTTTCATGTCTAGGCACCTCAAGCCTATTGTGCCAAATTTGAAGGAATGAAAAATAAAATGTTGGTCTACGTTTGGAGCGCTACACGTGCAAACGTAGATCTACTTTTGGACAGTTTAAGACTTAAAAAAAATATCTAACAGAAATAGAAGCAAAATTATTTTTAATATTTTTACTGTATGACCCAATTATTTTTTTTCAACAAACTGGCTATCTCCCACCGAAGTAGGGTGACCCAAAAAAAGAAGAAACACTTCCACCATTATTTATTCCATCACTGTCTTGCCAAAGGGGCACTGATATTACAGTTAAAAATTGCAAGTAACCTCACTCCTCCCTCAAGGGTGGGGACAAGCTGGAATAAAAAAGAAGAAAGCACAGAGAAAACTGAGATATGTGAAGCAAAAAAAAAAAAATAAAAAAAAAAAAAATTGGCAATATTTCAAGGGTTTTCTAGTTTAAAGTGCAAGGTGTAATTTTCATAAAGAAGCACTAAACCCACAGAAGTCACTGCAACTGGAGAGTGGTAAGTAATAAGTTTGATCTGAAGGAGAGGAGTAGCTCCAATTCCTAGGATCAAGATACCTCCACCAGCATCAAAGCACTCCCTATATAGTAAAATATGGGAAACATCACAAGAGATAATGAATTTGTAGACCAACTCATCCCATAAATAGTGCTATACATACATACAGTGGAACCTAGGCTTTCGTGATTAATTCGTTCCAGAAAGTCCAACGAAAACCGAATTGTATGAAAACTGAAGCAATATTTCCCATAAGAAATAATGTAAATCCAATTAATCCATTCCAGACACCCAAAAATATTAAGAAAAATACATTTTATAAAGAATAACTATAGTTTTACATACAGAAAACAATGAGAAATAAATATAAATGAATAATGAAATGGATAAATGAACATTTAACATCACTTTTACCTTTATCAAAGACTTTTGTTGGCATATGGAAGATGGTGAGGAGGGAAGAGGGAGGAGAAGAGGTTATTGCATGGAAGGGGAATCCCCTTCCACAAGGACTTCAGGTATCAAGGCCCTATCTGGGGTTACTTCCGTTCTTTGTCTTTTACTGGCACTAGGATCAGCTTGAGTCACTGGACCCCTGTCACACAAAAAAAACTGTCCAGAGAGGTCTGTTTCTGGCATCTCTAAGATTTGCCTAAAATGGGAAAAGGCATTGCCAATGAACATGTTGCAGACACAGCTTGCAACAGCTTTGTTAGGGTGATATTTCTCCACAAAACTTTGCAACTCATTCCACTTCACACACACGTTCTTAATCACTGAAGAAGGCACATTTTCCCCTCTCTCTTCCTCCTCCTCTGAAGCAATTTCCTCAGCTGCTGTTACTTTTGTACTTTGCTACTTTGCCACTTTCGTACTTCGCTACGAGTCCTTTCTTGAATTCTATTGTGTTTCTCACCTTCTTTATCAAAGGGTTGGCACTCGGAACTTTCTTTGGCCCCATGGTGGCTTATTTAGCAGTGGCACTTAACAAACAAGCACAAAAAACAATGGATTATTACAAAATGTTATCTGAACGTGCAGGGTAATGCTCATTCAATGAGAAACAAAGCCAGACCAAGTCATAACGCGTGAGATGCTTTCTGTGGGCTCGGGCAGATGGACGTGTTTGGTAAAGTGGACCACTGTCAACTCTACAAAAATAAGTGGATGTACGAAAACTGGGACAAAATTTAGACAAAAAAAGTCGTCAAAAACCAAATCCTACGAAAACCAGGGCATACAAAAACCGAGGTTCCACTGTAAAAGGAAAATTAGATATCACATTGGAGGGAGGGAGTATGGAAGAAGTGAATGTTTTCAGATATTTGGGAGTTGACTTGTCAGCGGATGGGTTTACGAAGGATGAGGTTAGGAAAAAAGATGAGTGGTGCACTGAGGTATCTGTGGAGACAAAGAACATTGTCCATAGAGGCAAAGAAGGGAATATATGAGAGTTTAGTGGTACCAACACTCTTATATGGGTGTGAAGCATGGGTTGTAAATGCTGCAGTGAGGAGGCGGTTGGAGGCAGTGGAGATGTCCTATCTAAGGGCAATGTGTGGTGTAAATATTATGCAGAGAATTCATAGTGTGGAAAATAGGTGGTGTGGAGTTACTAAAAGTATTAGTCAGAGGGCTGAAGAGGGAGTGCTCAGGTAGTTTGGTCACTTAGAGAGAATGAAACAAAGTAGAATGACTTGGAGAGCGTATAAATCTGTAGGGGAAGGAAGGCAGGGTAGGAATCAACCCCAAAAGGTTGGAGGAAGGGGGTAAAGGAGGTATTGTGGGCGAGGGGCTTGGACTTCCAGCAAGCGTGTGCGAGATAGGAGTGAATGGAGACTAATGGTTTTTGGGACCTGATGAGCTGTTGGAGTGTGAGCAGGGTAATAATCTGTGAAGGGATTCAGGGAAACAGGTTAGCTGGACTTGAGTCCTGGAAGTAGGAAGTACAATGCCTGCACTTTAAAGGAGAGGTTTGGGATATTGGCATTTTGCAGGGATGTCTAAGCTCTCATAGCTGAGCACCTCTGCAAAGACAGTGATTATGAACGAGTGATGGTGAAAGCGCTGAATGATAATGAAAGTTTTTTCTTTCTTTTTGGGTTTTTCTTTCTTTTTGGGTCACCCTGCCTTGGTGGGAAACGGCTGACGTTTTAAAAAAAAATATATATAAAAGTTCCAGTTAAGAGAAAAATGATATAACAATCATGTTTCACTTACTAAAACCAGAGCCACGTGGTGTTTCAGACCTTGCTTCAGTTCATATACTGTTGCTTCATGAGGAATAACCACTGTCCAAAATCCTTCATCAGCTTTTTCAATATAAATTTTCATTGCTCTTCCATGTTCCAACTCAATTAAGGCATTTACCTATAAAACAAAGATTCATATTACTATGCAAAATGGTACATATACATGAGAACTCCCAGCATAGACGGATTTAGCGTCCAACTCACACCAATTATATTATGTACATTTATTTAAGTGCAATATTTGTCAGTGATTTTTTGGGGGTTTGATTGACTCAACTACTCACGAGTATTTCCTTCAGGGAAATCAGAATTTCGTAGTCATGGCACCTATACATACTCTAGGAGTAAAAAATATTCTGTGTCTCCATTATTGTTAACCATGGCTGCAAACTGTACTGTAAGAACAATAAAATTTATTAATTCCTGTTTTCCATGTGTACATTTCAATCACATTTTTTCCTAATTCCAGAGAGTAGAAATTCAGTAATTCATGTTATAGTGCTAAAAAGATCATCAAACTACTCTGTATATACAGTAAACCCCTCATAACACACGCTACGTTTCTGAAAATTAGCATTACGTAAAGTGAAGAACATGGAGGCAAAAATACGGCTATGTTCCAAACACCTTCAAATTTAACAATCACATTTTTTGTACTTGGTAGTAGGTTGGTAGACAGCAACCACCCAGGGAGGTACTACCATCCTACCAAGTAAGTGTAAAACGGAAACCTGTAATTGTTTTACATGACGGTAGGATTGCTGGTGTCTTTTTTCTGTCTCATAAACATGCAAGATTTCAGGTATGTCTTGCTACTACTTCTTTCACTTAGGTCACACTACACATACATGTACAAGCATATATATACATACCCCTCTGGGTTTTCTTCTATTTTCTTTCTAGTTCTTGTTCTTGTTTATTTCCTCTTATCTCCATGGGGAAGTGGAACAGAATTCTTCCTCCATAAGCCATGCGTGTTGTAAGAGGCAACTAAACTGCTGGGAGCAAGGGGCTAGTAACCCCTTCTCCTGTATAAATTACTAAATTTAAAAAGAGAAACTTTGGTTTTTCTTTTTGGGCCACCCTGCCTTGGTGGGATACGGCCGGTTTGTTGAAAAAAAAAAATTGTACTGTTTTACTAGGTAGAAATTGCTACAGTATAATACATATTTTGTTAGTAGTTACTTGAAGCCTATAAAAAGTGTAGGCAGAAGGGTTAAAGGAGGCCTACTAGGCCAAACTTGATGTAGCTGAGCGTGACTGGCTAACACGCACTCAGTACTATACATGTGATCATCAATATAAGCCACATTTCCTTACCAAATACACCTACCATCCGATTTACAACCTGCTCGACTTACGACCACTCGACTTACGAACCGTGTTTTTTTTTGCCAAATTTCTGGGAAATAAACAACTATTTGTGTTGTTCACAGTGTTTATCCTAAACCTTACAGTATAAAATACAGTACTAACAGCATAAAAAGTAAAGTAAAACATGAAATACCAAAATAAAACAATAAAATAAAGTCCTTACAAAAATGTGATGTTGATATTCAGTAGTAAAGTTCGACTTACGTCCATTTCGACTTACGACCGGTTTCTCGGAACCGAACTCGGTCGTAAGTCGGATGGTAGGTGTAGTGTCAAATAAATAGCAACTCACCATGCCTATACCAAACAAATATATACCAAAGATAAATGACTTAATAAGGCCAAAGCAAAGAAAAAATATCAATACAAAAATGCATGAGACAGCATCAGTATATGTCAGCATCATAAAAATGAAAGCAATGTGTCGTTGCCAAACAGCATCAAACAAATAGGAACTTGCCACAACTATACAAAATAAAAATTAAAAATGACTGTGTTAAAAAATGTAACAACAAATAAAAATTCAGTAATACATAAACAAAATAATAAGGGAGGCTGTGTCTGTGAGATATGGAGAGAAAGAACTGCTGTCATGAATTTTCAGCAATATTATGTAGGAAAGAGGTGAATCATTTTTCCAGCAAAAGCTGCTCAACATATTTATGAATGGTTGTAAAAAAGTGAATATTAGGGTGTTGGGAAGTGTTGGCTTAAAAGATAAAGAATTAGATAAAGTGAAACTTCTCACAGTTACTCTTTGCTGATGACAAGGTTCTCTTGGGAGATTCTAAGAAGTTGCAAAGGTTGGTGGAGGAATGTGGGAGGGTATATAAAAGGAGGAAATTAAGAGTGAACATAGGAAATAGCAAGATGATGAAAGTGACTCTGGTGGCTCTGGTGGCCTGGTGGTTAACGCTCTCGCTTCACACAGTGAGGGCCTGGGTTCGATTCCCAGCCAGAGTAGAAACATTGGACGTGTTTCTTTCCACCTGTTGTATATGTTCCCCATCAGTAAAATGGGTACCTGGGTGTTAGTCGACTGGTGTGGGTCGCATCCTGGGACACTGACCTAAGGAGGCCTGGTCACAGACCGGGCCGCGGGGGCGTTGACCCCCGGAACTCTCTCCAGATAAACTCCAGATAAACAAAAGATTGCATTAATATTAGACTGGAAGAAGAGAGTATGGAGGAAGTAAATGTGTTTAGATATTTGGGAGTGAACTTGTCAGCAGGTTAGTCTGTGAAAGATGAGGTGAACATAATGAATTGTTGAAGAAAAAAAAGTATGTGGTGCATCAAGACATCTGTGGAGACAGGAAACCTTATCCATGGAAGAAAAACTGGGAGTGTACCGAAGTATAGTGGTACCAACACTCTTATATGGGTGTGAAGCATGGGTTTTAAATGTTGCAGTAGGAATGGATGGAGGTAGTGGAGATGTCATGTTTGAGGGCAATGTGTATTGTGAATATTATGCAGAGTATTCATAGTCTGGAGATCAGGTGTAGGGTTGACAAAAATGTAATTCAGAGGGTTGGTTTGGGCATGTGGAGAGAATGGAGCAAAATAGGATGACTAGAAGGGTAAATAAACCTGGGGTAGAGGGAAGGAGGGGCAGTGGTCATCCCCAGAAGGGTTGGAAAGTGGGGGTAAAGGCTTGTGGAAGCATGTGCTGTTAGAGTGCAAGCATGGTAACAATTCTGAAGGGAGTCAAAATATGGTGCTTGCACTCTGAAGGGATGCCACAATTCAGAAAGTATTTCAAGCTATGATGTCAGTACACTTCTGGGAGGACAGTGATTAAATGCATGACAATGAAAGTGTTTCATCTTTTTTAAGTCACCCTACCTAGATGAGGCATAACCGATAAGCTAAAATAATAATACTAGCTGATTAAGTTAGCATGCACAATAACAATTGCAAAATTTAAAAATATAATACAGCATTGCTCTATTCCTATATTCACAAACATGCATTTACAATTACTGAAAATGGGTAACAACACAAACGTAATTATGAGTACCTCTTCAAGGGTCACTTGGGGATGAAGGTCCTTTAGTAAAGGATCATCTTGAAGAAGCTGACTTAAGGCCTCTTGAAAAAATTTCTTCAGTTCAGCATGAGAAAGTGTCTTTAATTCAGAATCTTCATGGTGTTCAGTCTCTGTTCTCTTGTCACTTTCAACACTGGGAGTTTCCTTCACAAGTTCCAAATTATTTTCCATTTCATTTTCTGGTGCACTCACTGTATGTACATCATGTTCATGTTGGGTCTCGCCTGTAGACTCGATTGTGATATCATGACTTTCAGAGTTCATTATCAGGTTTGTTTCTTCCATTTTCTAAAAGGCAAAAGAGAAAAATTTAAGATAACTGTGAAAAAAATGTCTAAAATTAAACAGAATATTTTCAGTGTGACTATTTCATTTCCTTCTTTACAGTGGATGGGGAAGCACTATGATAGTGCTTGAAAAATTATTATAGAAAAAAGAAGTTTAAGGATAAAAACAGTCCTATAAATCTATTAACCTACAAAAAAAAAAGAAAAAAAAATACAAAAATATACACAAAGAACTCGCAAAATCATGACGCAATTGTCAACAAATCACGGTATAGGGGTTGAACCATGGTGAGCGAGTGGTAAAACTCCAAGCCAGAGTATAAGCCACTGGACCAGCTGGGTTAAAATAAGATCCATCGAACTAGGGCCACCACTGTAACCACAAATGCAAGATTTACAGATGATTCATCTGTAGTTTACCAGAGTACAGTGGACCCCCGCATAACGATTACCTCCGAATGCGACCAATTATGTAAGTGTATTTATGTAAGTGCGTTTGTACGTGTATGTTTGGGGGTCTGAAATGGACTAATCTACTTCACAATATTCCTTATGGGAATAAATTCGGTCAGTACTGGCACCTGAACATACTTATGGAGTGAAAAAATATCGTTAACCGGGGGTCCACTGTATATCCGACGTCTAACATGCAGAGTGAAAAATCAAGGTTGACATGCGTGAACTTCCTAGACCAAACATTATTTTTTTTTTTTAACACATCAGTCGTTTCTCACCAAGGTACGGTGACCCACAAAAAGAAGAAACATTTTCACTACTCACTCCATCACTGACTTGCCAAACACTACTGTTTATAAACTACAACATGTCTCCACTCATCCTTCAAGTCCAGTTAACTGGTTTCCCTAAGTCCCTTCACAAATGCTACCTTCCTCAAACGTGTCAGCTACAAATGATAGCATATGTGGGGGCAAATGGCATGTATTTTATATACTACAGCAGGGACATCAACAAAATAAGAACTGAAGAGGCAGCTGTGTATTTAGACTTCTAAGCCTCTTCATCTGCTGAAGAGGACCTCATTTCTACAATATGGTAACTCTGAGCAACATTATTATTATCACACTGGCCGATTCCCACCAAGGCAGGGTGGCCCAAAAAAGAAAAACTTTCACCATCATTCACTCCATCACTGTCTTGCCAGAAGGGTGCTTTACACTACAGTTTTTAAACTGCAACATATAGTGTGCAAAGGTAGAAAGTTGAAAGTGAATACAGATAAGAGTAAGGTGATGAGGGTATCATATGATTTAGATAAAGAAAAAGTGGATATCACATTGGAGAGAGGGAGTATGAAAGAAGTGAATGTTCTCAGACATTTAGGAGCTGACGTGTTAGCGGATGGGTTTATGAAGGATGAGGGTAACCACAGAATTGACGAAGGAAAAAGGGTGACTGGTGCGTTGAGGTATATGTGGAGACAAAAAACGTTATCTATAGAGGCAAAGAAGGGAATGTATGAAAGTATAGTGGTACCGACACTCTTATATGGGTGTGAAGCTTGGGTTGTATATGCTGCAGCGAGGAGGCAGTGATGTCCTGTCTAAGGGCAATGTGTGGTGCAAATATTATGCAGAGAATTAGGAGTGTGGAAATTAGGTGTGGAGTTAATAAAAGTATTAGTCAGAGGGCTGAAGAGGGGTTGTTGAGGTGGTTTGGTCATTTAGAGAGAATGGATCAAAGTAGAATGAGAAGGAGAGCGAATAAATCTGAAGGGAAAGGAAGGCGGGGTAGGGGTCGTCCTCGAAGAGGTTGGAGGGAGGCATTAAGAAGGTTTTGTGGGCGAGGGGGTTGGACTTCCAGCAAGCGTGCGCGAGCATGTTAGATAGGAGTGAATGAAGACAAATGATTTTTGGTACCTGGCGAGCTGTTGGAGTGTGTGCGGGGTAATATTTAGAGACGGGATTCAGGGAAACTGGTTATTTTAATATAGCCGGACTTAAGTACTGGAAATGGGAAGTACAATGCCTACACTTTAAAGAAGGGGTTTGGGATATTGGCAGTTTGGAGGGATATGTTATATATCTTTATATGCTTCTAAACTGTTGTATCTGGGCACCTCTGCAAAAACAGTGATTATGTATGAGTGAGGTGAAAGTGTTGAATGACGATAAAAGTATTTTCTTTTTGGGGATTTTCTTTCTTTTTGGGTCACCCTACCTTGGTGGGAGATGGCAGACTTGTTAAAAAAAAAAAAAATGGATGCATTTGCTTGTTTGGCCTTACAACATATCTTAGCTGCCAATCAAATGTATAATTCATATAAGACAGGATTATACTGGCAAGGTTGAAGTTGTGAGAAATCACACTGGGCAAAAGAATCCAGGGAGACAATGTCTTGACATGCATTAATGCAGTACAGTACTTATTATCGACAAAAATGCTTATCCACATACATTATGACATTTCATTGTAGCTGGTTTGTTACCATGCTAAGCAGACCTTGATTAAACAAAATTATGTGAATAATTGATTGGAGTATTATTTTATGTATCAGGAAATTATTATATTCATGGGGAAGCACTAAACCCATAGGGGTTAAAGTACAGTGCCTGAGGGAATGAAAGGCATTCAGACTTGATTCAAGGAACTGGAGGACAGGTCTAATTCCTTATATCAAGAGCCCCTCACCAGCTATGCATGAGGAAAGGGTTCCCTGCAAAGCTTACTCATCCAGAATTCTGTTGCTGCTTAACAAGTCTTCTACTCGCCCACCTACCAAAAAGAAATTCTTGAAGGTAATGGTTTTGCTACATATGTGCTACCTAACTGTATACTGCTGATCCTACCCACATACCAAGGAGTAATTATTAGTTTGAAAGCCAGGGTAAGGCCGAATTATCCTCACTTGTAAGAATACAGTGGACCCCCGCATAACGATTACCTCCGAATGTGACCAATTATGTAAGTGTATTTATGTAAGTGCGTTTGTACGTGTATGTTTGGGGGTCTGAAATGGACTAATCTACTTCACAATATTTCTTATGGGAACAAATTCGGTCGGTACTGGCACCTGAACATACTTCTGGAGTGAAAAAATATCGTTAACCGGGGGTCCACTGTAATTAGGTTCTAGTATGCTCAAATTTGATTTGATCTGATTTGTTCTATGAATCTTTTAGATGTACCAAACCACAACACTTTAACTCAAAAGGATAATTTCAATATGAATGTACGTAGAAACAGCTCAGGGAATGGAAGGATTCAAACCCATGGCAAGCCAGGCTTAAAATGAGCATGCCAGTGTTCTCACTGGCTTAACCCTTTCAGAATTTCGGATGTACTAGTACGGCTTACGCACCAGGGTTTTTGACGTACTAGTATGCCTAAATTCTAGCGCCCTCAAATCTAGTGAGAGAAAGCTGGTAGGCCTGCATATGAAAGAATGGGTCTATGTGGTCAGTGAGCGCAGTATAAAAAAAATCCTGCAGCACACAGTGCGCAATGAAAAAAAAAAACTTTGACCGTGTTTTTGGATTAAAACAGCGACTTTGCACTGTATTTTCGTATGGGATTTATTGTTGTATTCTAGTTTTCCTGGTCTCATTTTATAGAATGGAAGACATATTACAGAAATTGAGATGATTTTGACTGGTTTTACAATGAAAAGTACCTTGAAATTGAGTTCAAAGTAGCAGAAATGTTCGATTTTTACCAAAGTTCAAAAGTAAACAAAGCATGCAAAGCATCCAATACACGTCAACTGGTGAGTATAATATTCTTTCACAAGTGTGCCGATATTATTTATACCATTTCTACACTAATGCAGTAGTCTGCATAACAGTAAATCTTCTATTTTTTGTGAGAATAAAAATTCAAAGTGGAAAGTAAAAGAATGTAAGAGGGGCCTGGGGACATGACTAATGAACAGAGGAAATGATATTTTAGTGCCAGGAATGTCTTTCTTGTTTATTCTGGACCCTATTTGGAAATTGGCATCTTTTGAAATTTGTGTGAAATTGGCAAAATTACTAAATTCTGACCACTGTATTGGATAGTTGAAATTGGTAAATGGGTGGTTTCTTGTACTCATTCGATAGAAAAAATGGAGTTCTAGCGAAATAGTTATGATTTTTGTCGACTAGTACACTGGAATTGGCCGAAAATAGGGCTCAAAGTGGGCAAAATTGCCGATGCGTAAACATCATCGAGACCGCTAACTTCGCGAGAGCATAATTCCGTAAGTTTTCCATCAAATTTCATACTTTTGGTGTCATTATGATTGGAAAAGATTCTCTATCTTTCCATAAGAAAAAATAATTTTTTTTTTAAATTTGGGCGACCCTGAAAACAAGTCTGGGAGAGGGCCTGGGGACCCTGAAAGGGTTAATATGGTTCTGAACCCTGTCTGCTCCTTGACTTTTTATAATCATATTATCACAACTTAAGACAATTACCTGACTATTCATTCACATGCATCTTGGAAGAATCTCTAAGGAGCACCCTCCTCCCAGGGTCATCCTTCAGGCCTAATTCTAGTCTATCCACACTCCAGTTCTCATCATATGAAGAACGTGAAGCCCATAAATAGAGAGTTCCAGACTGCTTTGTCCTTTAACAGGAACCTGAAATGGTAGATATTACGAGTATCATAATTGTTTGTGATTGCCATAAGGAATCATTTCCATTAAAACGCTAAAATTTTTAAAATAATAATCAACTGGTTTATTCACGAGAGAAAACTAAATCCATGAGGGCCATCATGTTATATTAAACTGCAACAAAGTTACAAAAATAAGACTGAGAATTAAACTGCTTTGGTAACATTTAGTTGCAATTCAACATTATACCTGTATATAAATTCCTGAGGTATATGGATTATTACATCAATCTTACCTGAAACTTTGCCTCTTTGCCTGAACAGAAATTATTGGATGTGTCCCCAAGGTCTAAACGTCCATCTTTTATTGGTTCTCCCATTAAATATGCAACACCTGCAACACAAGGAAAAAACAACATTCAAAATGTTTTTAAAGAATAAAGTCACAATATTGAAGCTGAAACAATTTACAACTAAAAAATGGTATGGTGATACTGACAAGATGTTAAGAAGAAACATATTTACAGTTTGGTTTATATATTAAAGAAAACGTTTCACCACAAATGACCATGAGCCACTCACAGCGATGTTTTCTCTAATAAATGACCTGAGACGTACATGTGTCTTTTCCCACAATTCACAACTATCCCAACATTAAGAGGAAATTTTTATTTGATGTTTTGGTACATCCTGAACCAGTAGGAGAAACATCATCAAAAGTTTCCTCTTATAATTACAGGCTAGTTGTCAAGTTGCCTTTCTACAGGAGAGAAAATTTAGTATTCAGATACAGCAGCAGCTACAGGAATACATACTTATTGCAAATGTGTAGCTACTGCAATAATTAACAACTGGAGGAAAATCAAAATAAGTGAATAAAAATATATGAATAAAAAAAATTAGTGTTCTATACAGCCTCTCCTCATTTAACAACGGAGTTCCATTCCCAAGACCACGTCATTAAACGAATTCGTCACTAAGTGAGGAGCATACTATAATAGTACGTAGTGAGTTTGTGTCAACCATCTTTGTTATTGTTTTAATGTCACCTTTACACCATTTATAACCTTTCTGGTATATTTTTAAATGTTTATACGGTAGTATACTGTATACTTAAATAAACAGAATAGAGGAAATCAGCTCTAATATACATTATTTAGGTATGAATACTGGTCAGAGAGCCCGTCGTAAGTCCGAGGCATCAGTAAACAAGAACGTTGCTAAGCGAGGAGAGGGTGTATTTAAAACATTGTACCTCTCACCCTATAGCAAATATTTTCAGATAATAGGCTGTAAAGTGCAAAATACAGTATTATGTATTGTGAAAACCTTCATCCATATGCTGTATAATCAATCTGTATATAATGAATGAACTTGAACCAATTCTTCAATGGGGAGACAATGACAAAAGATCGACAAGTGGCAAAAATTATTTCCAAGAATGATTACAGTCCCAAGCCAAGAGTTTAATGCCAACAAGACTGGGTAATTTTGGAAGACAATACTATCAAGAACTTACAGTGGCCACAAAAAAAATTTATACATTAACAATTATTGGACAATAAAGTGAAAAAATGCAACTTAATGTATGTACGTACGTATTTTATTTCACTTTTTAGCTCATGTTACCATTGCTCTTTATCACCATCTGAAGTCACCTAGGCATCAAAGTGGGAGAAGAGGGAGGAGTCCACGTTGATCCAAAGCTTCTTCAGTGCCTCCTTCAGGTCTGTGATGTTGGTGGGTCAAGCTTTCACAATCTTATTTTTCATCCCATGCCAGGCATTCTCAATAGGATTTAGGTCGGGGGAATTGTCTGGCCACTCCAAAATACCAATATTGTTGTCCTCAAGGAACTTTTTCACTCCTTTTGATTTATGGGCAGGGGCACCATCATGAATAAAAAATCACACTCGTGAATGTTCCAAAATATCAGCACGTGGTCCCTTAACACCTCGATATAATTACTTCCCTTCATCTTAATGCTCTTAGGAAGGAAGTATAGTCCACCCCTGCCCTTATAACCACTAAAAGCACACCAGACATAACACTGTCAGGGTGCTTCACTCTCTTCAAAGCGTACCATGGGTCACAACGGGACACACCCCTGGGATGATGGATGGTCTAGGAGCCACTCCTGACAAGCCTGAAGGTACTCTCGTCACTGAACATCACCTTCTGCCACTGGTTTGAGGTCCAGTTCTTGCAGAACTGAAGCTGTTTCTTCTTCATGGCTTCATTTAGCATGGGCTTCTTGGCGGCATGTTGAGCAGGCATTTTCAGGTCCTTTTGCAGCTGGTGCTGAATGGTTCATACTGCGATGTCTTTCAGGAGTGTAGAATGCTTTTTCTTGAGGACTGCAGCTTTTATGGCCGGATCTGATAACACTTGCCTCTTCAGGATCTTGTCTGTGTGAAGAGAAGTCTTTTTGGGGGCCCCAGACCCCACCTTCCTAGGTGGTACGGTGTCAGGTGGCAATGAGGGAGATGCTTTCTTGAGGTTATAAACTGCCATCCTAGTCACCTTCAGGTCTGCAGCTACGTATATCACAGACATGCCTTGCTCTAATAGAGTGAGTGCACGGGTCTTCTCTGCAATTGAAAGTTTAGTTCAACCCATTCTAACCACTTGGAGCGGAGATATAGCGTGGCAAAGTTTGTAGTCAAGTGAAAAAATGGTCAATGAGTAACAACGTAGTAGGCCTCATTCCTCACTGAGCTCTGGCAGAGCACTGGAGCGTGGCATGGTGGGGAACGTTGCAGAAAGTTTGGCTCCAGTACACTAAGTCATCACAAGCTTCGCCCACTTTTCCTATGGCGGAAAGGAAAGTGAAATGTATACACCAAAATCTAGTGTATAGATTTTTTTTGCATTGGAAATGTGTAAATTTTTTTTGCGGCCACCGTACATTAGCAAAACAAGAATAAATTGCACTCGGGCTCAAGGCAGCAAAGAACTGATCCAGCTTGCTTCTCTGATCTAATAAAACATGTGATTTAAAGTACAGGCTTATGCTAATTTGAGGTGCACAGATTCCTCATGCTTGAAAGGGATAAGATAAAGCCAGTTGGCTTGTTATTTGACAGTCTAACATGACAGCATAAATAAATGAGACCTTGTCTTTGAGTGATTCAAGAATTATATTCCTGCAGCGAATATCTACCTGGGCACGAAAAATTTTGCATTCAAGGTGCTCTTGACTCTTGAAAATCAAATTTCCATAGTTGTCCTGAAATCTTGCATTTTTTAGTTTAATATCTTTTATTATGCACCCCATACCCATCCTGTGGGCAGTAGTCAAAAGATTTGAGGTATATAATGGGTTCAGGGACTGGGTTGCAAAGTTTTGGTAACTAAACCAGTTACAGTGTTCCCAAGAATGTAAGCTACATTTTTTACCATCCAATATGACATTTAAGTGCCATTACACATGAAGGATCATGGTTCTGAGACTGGTGTGCTAGAGTTCTGACATACTTTTAACATAGCACATGCACTTATGTATGTAAAAAGTGTCATGAGACGAAAGCCCCAGTCACCACAAATGCAAGTTATGGTAAATTATATCATGTGGTGAAAAGTTTATCAGGTTTATCCCTCAGTATGGAGTCAGATGCAAGATTAAAGGGCCTTGATGATTTGCAGTAAGATGTAGATAACTGTAAAACGATAGGCAAGACACAGGCAGATAATGGAAGAGGATGACGTAGAAGAACCTATAGAGAAACAGTCAACATTGAAAAAAATCCAAAAGCAATTCTTTGCTAATTACTCTTCACTGACATATCTAGAATCCTAGTTGTGAAGAGCATTTTGAAGTAAGCAGTGATGTCTTATTATTAGTAAGGGAAGTAATCAGGTTTAATTCAGGGCCAGGGCCAGACTCATGGAACTCCGTGTTCATCAAGAACTGCAAGAAGCCAATATCACGTGGTTTTAACATCCTATGGAAAGGGAGCATGGACACGGGGGTCATCCCACAGTTACTAAAAACAACAGACATAGCCCCACTCCACAAAGGGGGCAGTAAAGCAATAGCAAAGAACTACAGACCGATAGCACTAACATTCCATATCATAAAAATCTTTGAAAGGGTCCTAAGAAGCAAGATCACCACCCATCTAGAAACCCATCAATTACACAACCCAGGGCAACATGGGTTTAGAACAGGTCGCTCCTGTCTGTCTCAACTATTGGATCACTACGACAAGGTCCTAGATGCACTAGAAGACAAAAAGAATGCAGATGTAATATATACAGACTTTGCAAAAGCCTTCGACAAGTGTGACCATGGCGTAATAGCGCACAAAATGCGTGCTAAAGGAATAACAGGAAAAGTTGGTCGATAGATCTATAATTTCCTCACTAACAGAGCACAGAGTAGTAGTAGTCAACAGAGTAAAGTCCGAGGCAGCTACGGTGAAAAGCTCTGTTCCACGAGGCACAGTACTTGCTCCCATCTTGTTCCTTATCCTCATATCTGACATAGACAAGGATGTCAGCCACATCACCGTGTCTTCCTTTGCAGATGACACCCGAATCTGCATGACAGCGTCTTCCATTGCAGACACTGCAAGGCTCCAGGCGGACATCAACCAAATCTATAAGTGGGCTGCAGAAAACAATATGAAGGTCAACGATGAGAAATTTCAATTACTCAGATATGGTAAACATGAGGAAATTAAATCTTCATCCGAGTACAAAACAAATTCTGGCCACAAAATAGAGCGAAACACCAACGTCAAAGACCTGGGAGTGATCATGTCGGAGGATCTCACCTTCAAGGACCATAACATTGTATCAATTGCATCTGCTAGAAAAATGACAGGGTGGATAATGAGAACCTTCAAAACTAGGGATGCTAAGCCCATGATGACACTCTTCAGGTCACTTGTTCTATCTAGGCTGGAATATTGCTGTACACTAACAGCACCTATCAAGGCAGGTGAAATTGCTGACCTAGAAAATGTACAGAGAACCTTCACGGCGAGCATAACGGAGATAAAACACCTCAATTACTGGGATTATTATTATTATTATAATCAAAAAGATCAATTACTGGGAGCGCTTGAGGTTCCTGAACCTGTATTCCCTGGAACGCAGGCACGAGAGATACATGATTATATACACCTGGAAAATCCTAGAGGGACTAGTACCGAACTTGCACACGAAAATCGCTCACTACGAAAGCAAAAGACTTGGCAGACGATGCAACATCCCCCCAATGAAAAGCAGGGGTGTCACTAGCACGTTAAGAGACCATACAATAAGTGCCAGGGGCCCGAGACTGTTCAACTGCCTCCCAGCATACATAAGGGGGATTACCAACAGACCCCTAGCAGTCTTCAAGCTGGCACTGGACAAGCACCTAAAGTCGGTACCTGACCAGCCGGG